TTTCATTCGATGTGGGTTTATATCCCTTTATAGGATGGTGGACGAGTCACTTTTGTTGAGATGGGCATGTTCTTGATTGAGATCTCTAGTCTTCTTGAATTGTTCAATAATTAAGGTTTTTGGGTTTTGTGGTGTGAGTGATGACAATTTTTGTCGTTAAGGTCTTGGCGGGAAAGTTTCAAAGAGTGAAGGCCATTTTTGGGTTAAATGGACAAGTCACAAGTGTGTGTGACTTTGTTTCTATGTAAAAGCTCTCCCTAAGTTTGTCACCAAAATTGGAAATCCCAAAAATTTTACTCAACCACGGTGAAAATTATGAATACTCATCAAACAGAATCCTCTTGGTTTGTTATGAAATCGGAGTGGCATAAAATATTCTTTTTTGATAGTTTTCAAAAAGTACGAAAAATGGGATAATAATCCAAAAGGTCATTGAACTTCGGAAAAAGTTTCTACTGAATCACTGAACTTTAAAATCACCATGTTAATCACTAAACTTTGCAATATGTAATCTCATCCATCGCTAATTGAACGATCATTCAAAAAATTGATCAAAATGTTGACGTGGCTGACAAAATTGCATATGTGGCACGATGTTTCAACTGGTGGACACCAAATTAGTAAAGTGGGTCTTAAACAATGCATCAAAACTTCATTGAACATTGAATAGGGAGTCCACCACTACCTAAAGTTGGTCTTAAACAATGAACTATGGAGTTTACTGCTACTTAGATTGATGATAAGCACTATTAATGATGGTTGACAAATAACATTGTTTAAGAGAAATGTCAAATGGGGTTATGCCATTATTATTTTCAAATAAGGACTTCAAAAAAAAAAAAAAAATCAAGATGCCAATATAAAAGTATACAATTTCTAGTTATAAATAATAATTGCACTATGGCATAGTTATAAGAACAACTATGAGATTAATTTGTTTGATTCTTGAAGCTACAAGGGTCATTAAACGTTTTTATATATTACATGAAAATGAACATATGCCTCTCATATTTGAAAAAACATACAAACACAAAAAAATCACTACAATAAAAAAAAAAAAAAAAAAAGGGCTCCAACGACCAACCCTTTAGCGACCATAAAAAAGTGGTCGCTGTAATATACTTTCATTGACCACAAAATGGTCGGTGTAGGGCATTGGTTTGCTAAAGTTGAAATATTTTTTGGTTGGTTATCATTTTTAGCAACCACCAAATGTTGGTCGCTGAATAATTGGTCGCTGCATATTTAGTGACCAACTAGTGGTTGTTGGTAGAATGTTCCAACGACCAAATTAGGCATGAGTCGTTGAAAGACTTGGCGCAATTACTCCCTCTTGTTTTTTCCACGTTTTTTAGATTCTTTAATGACCAAAGAATGTGGTTGCTGATTAGTACAATGTTCCAGTGACCACAGTATGGTCGGTAGTTGTATAACTTCCAGCAACAAATTTTATTTGGTCACTGGAACACTTGGCGCCATCACTCCCGCTTATTTTTTCAACATTTTGACTTCTATAGCGACCAAATTCGTTGGTTCCTAATTAGTCTAAGGTTTCGGTGACCAAACATTGGTCACTGGTGTATGCCTTTCAGGAACCAAATTTTGTTGGTTGCTGGAACACTTGGCGCCATCACTCCTGCTTGTTCTATTCAACATTTTGACTTTTACGGCGACCAAATTGTTTGATCGTTGATTAGTATAAGGTTTCAACGACCATACATTGGTCACTAGTGTTTGCCTTTCAACAACCAAATGCACTTGGTTGCTGGAACACTTGGCGCCATCACTCCCGCTTATTCTTTTCAACTTTTTGACTTCTATAGCCACCAAATTGTTTGGTTGCTGATTAGTACAAGGTTTTAGCAACCATATATTGGTTGCTGGTGTATATCTTTCGGCTACCACTTATTTTTTTTTAACTTTTTCGACTCCTATAGTGACCAACTTTCGTGGATGCTGATTAGTATATGATTTTGGTGACCATAATCGACCATACTATACTCTATACTATGCTTGATAGAATACGTTATGTCAAATAAATAACGAATATGTCCAAATGTATACACTCATATACACATGCACATTACAACCTACGTATTGTCTAATACTTGAAAAGCTACATTTAAAAAAAAAAAAAAAATACTATCGGGCCTACCCCTTTCACAAATTTTCACAAAATTCTTAACACATTACGACCTCTCTCACGTTGTTGACACTCTTTAAAGATGTTTTTCATGAATCCTATAAGACATAAGTATAGAGTAAAGCAAATTTCGTTTCAACTTCTTTTACTTCATATCGAGCTAGCCTTTTTGTTGCCAGAGAACCTAAGACTAAAAGGGCAAAGGAAATAAGACGTACAAAACAAAGATGTTGATATCCCAAGAAAGTTGTTTACTTTATTCGTATAACCATTTGTCACTTAGACTGCGAAAAGAAAATTTTAAACTTCGTACATCTATAAAGTTGAAACTCAATAGAAAATTTTAAACCTTCCTTTATTAATCGAGTGAATTTTCAATCTTTTATTTGAACTTGACTCATTAAACTTTATTTAATTTTTGAAAAGATTGTCCTATCATCATCTTTTCATTTTTCTTTGTTGGCACTTTCTTGTCTGCATTGCGTAAGAACATGTCCACATTCTTATGTATTAATATTTACAAATACATTGTCACTATCCTTTACGTTAAAGCAACGTTGGTCCGACGTGGTGGCCCGTGCCATTTTCTTTGTTTTTCTTTTACTTTTTATGTATTATATGTACTCTTTTAACTCTCTCTCTCTCTCTCTCTCTCTCTCTCTCTCTCTCTCTCTCTCTCTCTATATATATATATATATATATATATATATATATATATATAAAACTTCATGTTTTATATTCACTTACGATCTCTCTCTCTCTATATATATATATATATATAAAACTTCATGTTTTATATTCACTTACGATATATTTTGTATATTCCACTTTAAGAAAGAAATAGATGTGATATATTTATTTGTTATTATCAATGTTTTAAAAGGCGTAATACATAGCGATACGCAGAGGCCAAACTATTGTTAGGTGAGCTCAGCGAGGCATAAGCGTAAAAAAGTGTAAAAATGCGTTTTTCTTATTTTAATATTATTTTAATTTGTAATCAATCAAAAAATCATTTAATAATTAAAAATAATACCTACCACATATCTAAAACAAATTTATAGGAACTTTACATTTTTTTTTTTAAAGTTTTCAACAAAAAGATAAGTTTCAAATTTAAATACTAAATAGTAAATAAATAGAAATTTTTGGAAATTTTCATTTGTTCAAAGTTTCAAGCGGTTGCTTTGGATTTATGGCAGACGAAGTGAAGAAATTAGATTTTAAATTTTAAATTAAAAGGATTGTTAAAAAATTTTATTTTATTTTATTTAAAAAAAAAAAGATAATAATGTTGCTCATAGTCATACCTAGGCATGCATTAATGATTGCCGCTGACTGCTAAATAAGGCGCCAAATTACTTGGCTTGGTGTTTCCACCACACATCGCGCCTAGAAGACTTTTTGGAACTGTTTAGACGCTCCTCGTAGAACAGTGTTTATTATGCTTCAAACTTATAACTATGAAAAGTATGGCTAATAGTTTAGGCGTGGAATGATATGGATGTGAAATGATGATGGTTCAAATGTCAAGAATTTTACTATGAATTTACTTGACTCTATATTTGACCATGATTATATAGACACGAACACATCACAATAAATTTTAGATCGATGAGACCTTATTTAAACCTCTGTCCTAGACATGGCATATACAACGTGTTATTATATGCTTTTTCATCTTGACCTCGGCTATGGAGATCCAAATATGAACAGTTTATACAATGCATTATTATATGCCTCTACATCTTGGCATCAACTATAGAAATTCAAACCTAAACCGAATTCAAACATAATGTGCCACGTCCATAAATTTTAAATAGATGCGACATAGGGTATGTTTGACGTTGAATTTTTTGAGAATATATTTTGTAAGAGGGTTATTTGAAAAATGTTTGATTAGAAAGTAGAAAAATATAAATCGCACGTAAAATTATTTTATTGATTGAATGTATAACAAAAAAATAAAAATAACAAAATTTGCGAATTTTTTTTTTTTTTTTGAAGAATTTGCTTAAGGATAAAGATTGTGCCCCTAGCGATCAAGCAAGGCACTTTGCCTAATTTACACCTCTATCGCAAACACGGCAATATGCAATGCATTATTATAGTCTTCAACTCTCATTATTGATGACAGGAGGAAAAAAAAAAAAAAAAGTAAAAAAATCAAGACTTCTTAACCCAATGTATTTTCCACGTGTCAAAAACCCATTTAAGAGCTTTTCTGTGTCAAGGACTCAAGAAAGCTTCTGTGTCGGACAAATATATTCGTATCACGCCAGGGACGTAGTCTAGTGGTGCAAAGGACAGGAGTGAAGTTTTCTAAGTTTTGCTGGCATCTGCAATGTGGAGGTTTAATTCCTAAAATATAGAATTGAAATTCTTGTAGGCACAGTATACAGACAACTCTTGTATTTGTTCCTAGCCTGTTTGGATACGTCCCGCAATTTACCTCCCTCGCAATAAACGGATGGCATGGAGTCTCAAGATTGAATTCAACCTTTTTTTTTTTTTTTTTTTTNGTGTCAAAAACCCATTTAAGAGCTTTTCTGTGTCAAGGACTCAAGAAAGCTTCTGTGTCGGACAAATATATTCGTATCACGCCCGGGACGTAGTCTAGTGGTGTAAAGGACACGAGTGAAGTTATTCACGTCTTGCTGGCATCCGCAATGTGGAGGTTCAATTCCTAAAATATGGAATTGAAATCCTTGTAGACACAGTGTACAGACAATTTTTGTACTTGTTCCTAGCCTGTTGGGATACGTCCCGCAATTTACCTTCCTCACAAGAAACGGATGGCATGGAGTCTCAAGATTGGATTCAAACTTTTTTTTTTTTTTTTTTTTTAATTTTTTCGTAACACTTCAAAACTCAGTACAGCACATCCCATCATATGAACATGAGCACCAAAACAAAATCCTTCACTCAATAATCTCTCATCTCATAGAACCCTAAATTCTATCTGGAAAGTAATTTCTTGTACATCCTGTGATCCGATTAATGAAATAGTGTGTTTAGTGAACTTTCTTCTATTTCTTGATTTAAACTGTAGGGAAAATGGATGGGGATTTCTGGGCTACAAGAGTTCACTCAGCTAAGAACTTTTCTGCTCTCCAAGATGCCAGACTCAACCATTCAAGTATGAATAATTGATTAATTTCACAGTTTCGATTATTGGATTCTTGACTATGGTTTTTCTAGCTCAAAATAATTGTTTGCGGATTTTGTCAATTAATTGATGATTTGTTTTGTTGTAATTGATTCAATTTAGAAAGTATGCTGTAAGTACTGTTTATTTGGCTACTAAATCCTGAATTTGTTGTGATTTTGAGTAATTGATGATAAATAGGACTTATTTTAGAGAAAATGGTGAAAATTGGAAAAAAAAAGGCACCGAATTATTGGAAATTACGTCTTTTTTCGCACAGTTTGTGTCTACGTAGAGTGTAGAGGGTCGAGATGGATTGTTTTAATGAATTCTTAATGTTTGGTTGAATTTCACAGTTCTAGTTTTTGAGTTCTTGGAATTTTTTTAATTTTTTTTTTAGATCCTAATAATTGTTTGTTGATCAATTGATGAATCGTTTGTTGTAATTGAGTTAGCTTTGTAAGTATGCTTCAAGTACAGTTCCTTTCTGTGCATTTCCTAGAATTGGCTATAAAAAGCACAGTTTATTTGGATATGACGTGCTGATTTGTAGTGGTTTTGATTGGTTGACGACAAATTGGACATAGCCTATGTTTGGGCTCCATTAAAATGAGATTTTGGGAACATTATTTTATGGGATAATATGTGATTGAAAATGAGTTTTGGAACAATGGAGTCTAAACAAGGGCTTAATTTAGAGAAATAGAGAAACATTTGGGGAACAAGTCACCCGATTATCAGAAATTTTATCTTTTTTCACACAATTCGTTAGAGCGTGGAACGGTGAGATGGAAAGGTTTTAATATTCAGTTGAATAACTTGGTGTTGCAAATTCTTAACGTTTCCAATTGTTTGTGGCTCTCCTAATGATTTATAAAGTTTCTTGAACTTAGAAATTTATGATTCTTTGTTTCATAAATAGGCAACCATTTAATTATCGGTGATGAAGGGGGTGATGAAATGAGAGCTTGGTTTCCCTGCCCTTTTTGTTATGTCGAAATTGAAGTTCCCGTGCTTTGTGTTCATTTGCAAGAAGAGCATTGCTTCGACTTGAAAGATGCGGTAAGATAGTTTAATGCCATTTCTATCCAATCATGCCTAACCCACATGTTTTGTTTAGCTTAAAAACTTACGAGTAAAATAAAAGAGTTTACCTTTCTGAGTATGCATATTCAGATAATTTGTACCTATATAATTAATTCTATGCTTGGCCAAAGAGTTTTGCTTACAAGTTGACAAACTGGTTCAAGTTTCTTACCAAAATCATTAGCTTATTACTCCGTCGTTAACTTTATGTAATTATCAACTTGAATATGATATAAAAATCAATCATAACTGAAAATTAATCCCACTCTAGGAGGATAATAATCTAGATTATTTTTATAATCACATCAAGTAAGTTTCACTCATCAGTTATTAGATAGTGAATAATTGTGGCTAATGGATAGATGTTTATACTTACTGTTGAATAATAAGAAATCTACACTGTGGACTCCATCAGATGATTAATTGAAATATATAATTGTACTTTTGAGACAATGGACATGGGCAAGTTGATGATAAGGGTAAACCACATCAATTATTTATAGAAATCGTAAATAATATGCATGGCCTTTATTGGTGTTCATAAATCTCAAAATTAGCAATTAGATTTGTTTAAATTTCAAACTAACTGTCCGGTTTTATTAATTTCATTTCTATCCTAAAATACATACTTCACGTTTGTTTTGTTAGAGGGCCAAGAGGCAACATAGTTTCATTCTTGAAATTCTATTCCAGGTCTGTCCCATATGTGCTGCAAATTTAGGAAAAGATGCAATCGGCCATTTTACGATGAAGCATGCACATTCGATAAAGGTATAACTATTGTCATTTAAAGTAAATTTGATCAATATGGAAACAATAATTGAGCAGTGTCTTTTCTTTCTCATCTTTTCCCTTTTTTATTTGCCTTCTCAGAGGAAGAAAAATACCCAAAAATCCGGCTTTTGGAGTAATGTATCCACAAATATTGTTAAGGACATTCGAGAACTAAGTTCATATTCGATGAGCAGTCAGTCTAACAGGAGTGAACCAGCACCTGATCCACTCTTTTCACCATTTCTTTGCAATGTGCCCCTTTCAGACCCTAAGTACAGTCGGAAAGATACGACTTCTTACATTGCTGCAACAAATGATTTAGAAAGGTATGCATCTTCTATGCTGTAGCATTACATTTTTCATCCTATCAAATTGCGAAGTGCACAACCTGATATAATACTAATAATTTTTTGTGTTTTGGATTCTTTATGCATAATATCCCCAAGATATCATGATGTATCTGTATACGAATTTAACATTCAGAGTTGCATATTTCTCCATCAGTAGTTATCTCATTTTAGTTATGAAAAGTCACCCCTCTGACATGAAGAGCCTCACAATTAGAACTTCACTTAGCATATGCCTTTTGATTTCATTTGACCACTGGCCTGGTTAAGAGGATTAGAATAGCTTAATCTACTAGGATTATGTATAACTCGTTTAGTTGAGCAATATGGATTAAAGTAAGATTGGAAATTCATTAATAGTGTATTCTCCAATATGAACACCCGCGTGCATTTGGTGCTCATACCCCTCCAGATTGATAAAGGGAAAACCTTGCTACTTGTTGAAGTATAGGTTTAGTGATGATTCTACAGAACTACGTTACAACAAACAAACTATCAATTTGATGAGATCTTGCCACAAACAATTATTCGGAGCTAGGAAAGGGAATGCGAGAAGCAAAAAACGAAAACTGCGTGAGGTCAAGAAATGTTCCTGCCTACCTATATAAGATATCTTGAGAAGTTAACCTTTTTCTTAGTTGCAAGATTCGGAAAAAGAGTAGGAAAGGTGATTTTACTATATCTCTGACTATATATTCACCAAACAATCACTTTTTTCTCTTGGAAGGGTTTCACAGAATGAATACTTAGGGCTGCTTTTGAGACTAAAAAGCTGCTTTTGAGATTGTTTGGATAATTTTTTAAAAGTGTAGTCTACTTAGAAGTGCTCTTAAAGGAAGCTAGCCCAATGTAACTTCCTCAAAATGCTCTTTACGTTAAACAAGAAATTAATCTCACACTGAATTTAGAATTGTATTAAATAACAAATTAAGGACCACTGCTCTGTTATTCTTGTTTCATATGGTTGGATATATTGCACTAAATTGTAGTCTGCATCTAACATATATTGGTGATCGTGTCTGGCTCATATTGCAACAAATGAAACCTCGAACACCATATTTTAATAGGTTAATTAGTGCAACAGGGACAAAGAGGTCCTAGTTTTAAGTCTCGTAAATATTTTGTGCCTTTCGTATTAAGGATGATAAAATATTTAGTTTTCGCAGCAGGAAAACATCACAGAAAGAAGAAGTTCACGAACAAGATTACGAGGAAAGGAAACAGAAAGCTGCATTTCTTCTGGAGCTAATTGCATCAACCATTTTCTCCGATTCAATGGAAGAGAACCAATTCCAGTAATGCTTCAGCAATTTACACCAGGTTTTTATTAATGGTGCATGATTTTAGAAGATCAAATCGTTGGAATTTGCCAACAGGGTGATGCGATTATATGAACCGTGTATTACGTATAATTTGTATGAGCTTATGATTATGATTATGATTATGATATGAGACAATGTACAAATTGTCATAAGATATTTTCGACATGTTATGAGTTTTGTTTTATTTGACATTTTGTAGTTTAGGAGTAACTTATACTTCCTAAAATGCAAAAACACAAGGGGTCTTGTGATAGACAATGGTCCGATGGATTATTTGACAGCCGAAAAATGTATAAGCTAAAACAGTCTATTCACTTTTGATTGAAAACACAATTAAAATCATCGCGGAAATCCCTCGATAAATCTTGATTTCGAGCTCAGAAAACAATCAAACCAACATCGGTTTACCTCGGCTCGACTCGAGACTTTCGCCTACATGTTTGTTCTGCCCTTGCTCTCTCAATCCCCACAAAGAAGAAGGGATGGTGGTGGTAATAGGAAGAAGAAGAGGAGGCAACAATGGTGGGAATTACTCCAACAAATCCCCAAGTCGGCTGCCCTTCCACCCTGTTGGCCCTCTTCCACACACACTCACTCACCATACTTTCACGGCTATAGAAGAGATGGATATATATTGCATAGGTTAGTTCACCCCAATTGGGCCTAGACATTACAACATGGGCCAAGTAAAACCTAATAACTATTGGGCTAATATCAAACTAACCAAATAAACATCCAAAATCAAATTTGGGCCATCCAAACGTGTAGTTCGTCTTCAAGCCGAGTCAAGTCCATGGTGTCGATAAATAATCTGACAACTGTTTTAAATCATCGGCCGAATTATTGGGTATCAAAAAACCCAACAAAAATAAATAAATTTGTTCTATCATTTAATAATTTAAACTTTTAAATGAGGTGATTTAACAGTACAACTTTTTCATAAATAAATACCAACAAGAATCAATATTGTGTATTGAGATGTTATGTTGAACTAATTTTACTTATAATTGAATTGGAAAAGCGAAAGGGTCAAGAATGAAAGAGTCGAGCGAAATCGAACTCGGTAGTTAAATAAAAACAAATATATTTTAAATGATAAATAATAGTATAATATTGTTAATTGAAATATTTGGAAGGTTTTAATATTTTACTAATAAGTAAGATAGAAAAATAATTAATTTATTCAAAATCACTATAAAATTGGATTCCCACTACAAAATCATATGAAATGCTTTTTATTTTTCCTAGACTCGCATCGGATTCCCACTGCAAAGCCAAAGAAATGCATTGTATAAAAGGATGTGCCAACATTTGGGTAAACAATCTCTTTGGACCTTTTAATGAATGTTTGTACACGTATAGAAAGAATTTTGACAGAATATATATTGACAACTCACAGTTCTGGGGTTCACACACATTTTTGACATTTTTTATATAGCATGGGGTCCACACACTTGTCTCTATTATGGTGGAATTATGTGAAAAAAATTCTGTACAAACAGTTTTTTCCTTAATTCAAAAGGCTTATAGATGTTTAATATATATACTTTTTAAACAGCCTATCAATCTGCAAAATCAGCAAAACCGATTCTCGGTCATTCGGTTGGTGAATAAACCGGCCATTTGACCAGTTTTTTACTGGTTTTATATCAAGTAAGTTTTTAGTTTTAACCAAACCGAATTTTGGACCGATTCCCCATTTTTTGGTTGAATCAATCCTATCTAGTTTTTAACTTTTTATATCATTGCTTGTAATCACATAAACTTTTAGGTAAGACAAGAGGGTGTCTATCCAAAAGAAACACAAAGCCGTCAATAAGAACGGCAACGAGGATGGCTCTTGTCGTCTCCGAACCTGTCGAAGATTTCTGGGAGGTCGGGTGGGACTAGGATTAAACATCTCCATTTCTCATCTAATTACACCATTTACATATTCATTTATTTTTAATAAAAGGTCGGGAAAGGTTCTAGGCGAAGATCTGTTTCCCGTCACCCATCCCAATTCCGTGACTAACGGGAGAATTCCCATCCCTTCTGGACAGAATGGGACGTGACATGTTGCCATCCCAAAACATCAATAACAGGCATTGAAACATTCTATACCATAGGAGGAAATTGCATTCAACCAATCTGTATTGCAAATAACACAACTAGCATCAATAACAAGCAAGGCAACAATAATGTTCCGCAACCAACAGAAACAATGTAATACAGGCTGGTGGTAGACAAATGCGGCATGAAGTCTGAAATCCCTGTTCGACATCAGAAAAAATTCATCCGTGCTGCTATCCAAGTCGCTCACATAAATTCTCAATATATTTTTCGACACACAGCGATACCAAAGAATCAGCTTTTTGTCATGTCAATGTACAAACATGTATTCTATGTACATGTATACTTACCTATTGCATATAAAATGTGTAAAATCAATCAACACCATCACATTAACTGCATAGTTCACAGAAAAGTAAATTCTGGAGCATGCTTTAAAAGTAGAATGTTCAACAAGGGTACAACTGTACCGCATCATCTCTTAAAATTTCTGCAATTCTCAAGTCAGACTTGATATTCCGTCTTGCCATGTGGTAAATGTATCTAAAGATAGGTCCATAGCTACTGTTTTCGCCAAGCAAGTCCTGTTTTCGGTCTCCACTTCTCAGTTTTCTGAAATATCTTGGAACCATAAGGATGAGTACAACTGGTGTAATCAAACAATTATCCAAATTATAATCTGAGAGCGAGTTTGAATTTTAGAGAACAAAACTTGCATCCGCAAGGAGGAATCTTCAATCTTGATCCTCGGAACTTATGAATCAAATTGCATGTTTCATCATTCAGCTTATCTTCAGATATTATCTAGTCACCGATACTAAGAACTTTATGACGCATCTCGGGAGGATGTTCATTCAAAAGATCCGAGACAGCCAGTTCATGACTCTGCTTAAGTTCATCTAGCTCCCTTCGCTGCTTGTCCAATAAATGTTCTAGTTTTTTAACAACAAGTTTGATGTCGTTAGATTTGGTTTCACTCGGTATTGTATTTTCTTCGAAAGCATGAGGCCCATCCACTTCTGTGCAAATATCATGATCAAACTCGTTTTCCACATGCCTGAGCGGCGAAGCATCAAGGGATCTATTCACATCTTTATGAAAAATTGAGGATGGTGAATTTTCTTCAGACCAGCTATCTCCAGAGGCAACTGAATCTGCCTTTGACGGTATTGGCCTCAGTGGAGAGGTTGCAACACTAGTTTTGGGTGAATCGGACCAAAATCTACGACCTGACGGCAGTCTTTCCAAAACAAGAGGGCCAGTACGAGCAGAATCATTTGTCATGGGGGAAGAACCAGAGTGAGCAGAATCAATTTCGGTGTGAGAAGCATCATCCTGACCTCCAGATCTACCGCTTGTAGAAATTGCTTCCCCAGAAATAATATTGCCATAGATTTCTACGGGTTCCCAATCTGGAATGTGGGATCGAATTTCAGAATCAATCATGTCAACAATTATCGAGACGTCATGATCTGTCAAATCCAGCTCCTCAACCATTTCACTAGCTACAGCAGTTGATGTATCCACCTCAATATCAAATGGGAAGTGAATATTCCGAATACGTCCTGAGCTCATCAAGAAATCACATAAAATGATAATCATGCTTTTGAGCAGATTGTTTTTTCGAGGAATAAGAACTGCCTATAATAAAAAAAATAAACAAGTAAATAACCTGAAGAATCTGCTATTCGGAGTTTCAAGAATATAGTATTCTGGTCTTTCCTTTGACCATATACCGAGAAGTCTAAACTTCCCTCGGGAATGATGTCCTCGGGCATTTTTCCTGAGTCAAACTGGTCACGATTGTCATCTGCAAATAGCAAGAGTTAAAAACTGGGAAAGAGTTAACAAAATGCAATAACACAGCTGAGGTAGATGGTAAACTGCACCTGCATTTAGAAGATGAGAATGCAGGGATCGACCTATACTTCTAGAATCCTCGTCTGACTGGAGAAAAGGATCATTCAGTAGCTCTTTGGCCGATAACCGCTCAGAGACTTTTGCAATACATTTTTCGATAAATGTTCGGACTCCAGGATCCTTCAATTTTCCTAATGATGCAGGTTTAATCCCCTTCAGAAAGGGTAAAATCGTAAAAGATGACGAGAAATTCAGTACAACGGCACAGACGAAAGCGAAACATATAATTTAAGAAGAAAAGTTCTTTATCTAGTCTAAATTACTTGTACCATGAAAATATTACTAAACCAGTTTAAAACCAAAGAAACAATCCAGCATCAGTCATACTGAATAACGAATAGGAGAATATGAACGTTTCTTCTCAGAATTCCATTTAGAATATCGTACATTCTTGATGAATGATAATGTGCACATACGGAGATGAAACCCACGAAGCATGAAGGCATTCATCTCGATAAGAGAAAAAATCTAGAGTGCTTTTGTGATAATAAAACTATTCATTGAACCAGGCCAGGTCAGAAGAAAGATAAAAACTACAATTAGAAAGTCAAGAACGGCTCACCGCTGTAACCTTTTTATATATCTGAGCAGCATTGGCACATTCAACATACGGGTACTCGACCGTCATGAGCTCCAGCAAGCACATACCAAAGGCATAGATATCTACAAGCTCGTTGTATTCCTCCTCATAAAGCTCTGGTGCCATGAACTCAGGCGTGCCTAGCATTGAAACCAAACTTATGTCATTGCCTTCATAACCAAACACAGCCAAAAATGCTAGTGGCCAAATTGAAAAATCAAACTTTACCAATGACACTGTGAGCTGCATGAGCCTTACGAAGAATAGCAGCAAGTCCAAGATCACCGATTTTCACCTCCCCTTGGTTCCCGTTCACAAAAATATTATCACACTTCAAGTCCCGATGAATAATTGGCGGGTCATGACTATGAAGATATGAAAGCCCTTCAAGAATTTGCCTGGACCATTTTTTCAGAGCTCTCAAATCAACACGTTTATGTTTCTTCCTATACCTGCACATACGCGCATAAACAGATCACGAATCACATTTCATTAGATTGGTACGTTTAACTGTAAAATTCAGAACAAATTTGAACACACTGTCTCAAAGTGCCAGAAGTGAAAATTTCCGTAATGAAGTTGATATGCTCATTCTTGGCATCGATCCACGAGTTGTAAAACTTGATAATATTCTTGTGCTTAAGAGTTTTTAGCAAGTGAACTTCGGAATACAATCGCTCCAAATCCTCGGAATTTCTCAAGAGATCTGCAACTTTAACCTGATTCCATGCCACCTCTATTCCTTCCCATTCATCAAACGCTCTATATCTATTTTCCCAGGGTTATAATTAAGGATTCACAAAATTTTTGAATTTAATCAATTTTTTTCCTCAACAAAAAACACAGTAAAATTCGAAATCTTATAGTGAAATGTATTGCAGAGCGGATACACTTTTTTGAAAGCTCCCTTGCCCAAAACTTCTTTGTACTGAAAAATTGCGTAAAAAATGTATAATTAAACAAAATAATTCATAAAAAAATTTTGCTGATCAACAAGCATATAGTGGGTAGAAAATGTATCACAACAAAAAATTACAAACCAGTTCAAATATAATAGAATAAAACATTAGCTCTACAACCACAAATTCGCATAAAAAATGAAACACGTAATACTGACCCGACCGTATCGACCAGATGGATCAACCTCGATAAATTCGGGTTCTGGATCGGGATCACGCGGGTCGGGTTCCGACAGGGAGTCCTGGGACATCCTCTGAGTGAAATTTTCCGAAATATCTCTGAGATTCAGATCTAATCACGAAATTATTGAGCTATTATAGCCAATTCAAATCTTTTCCGCAACCTGATTATCACTTCTTCTTCTTCTTTTTTTTAAATAAAATTCACAAATTTTAACTAATATTATATATGAAAATATGCATTATCAACCCAAAAAATTAAAATTCAGAAGCATAAAAGAATTTCGACAAGACGGTATTCCGTCTATATATTTATGGGCTGTTTTTTCCCCCTATTATCTTATTTCATAAAAATTGAGTTCTTAATTTTGCCAAGGGATTAGGATACAAACTACAAAATACAAACTGAAGATGCTGAATTGAAAGCTTAACTTATTGATGACGACTTTATTAAATTTAGATTTTGATCATAAGTGCACCATACTTTAATACATTTTAATTTTATTACAATTTTTCAATATTTATTCATTGTTAAATTTATGTTGATTATTTTTTAATTCATAACCTAATTAGCATATTTTTTTTTATTACTTTTAAATTCATAACCTAAGCAGCATATCTTTTCATTCAAAGATTTTGTTGGCATGAATTGAAGGACAAATATTTAATCTTAATTTTGTGTTTGTCACATTTTTATTATTTTGTATTGTATTAAACTCATCATGAGATAAGATGTCCCAATAAATGAAAAGTTGAATATATGAACACAATGAAAAAACTTGAAGATATAAACGTAGTAATGATTGAATGTTATTGACTTCTCATGTAATTAAGATACGATGTATTTATTGAAAAGTATCGTGTCAATATATTTAATCCGTAAGAAAATTGTTATACGGGATAACATGTACCAATTAATGAAAAATTGAATATATGAACACAGACACTTGTTTAATGATTTAGAATATCTTAATTAATTAATAAAATTGAATAAAAAATGATTTGCCCTTTCAAGTCCCTTTGCACCATTTTTTTTTTTTGGATAAATTATTCTTTTATAAGTCTCTAAATGGCAAAGAAATCCTATTGGTCTATCAAGCTAAATTAAACTTATTATTTATTGAATAATTACATATAATTTAAGCATCACTTTCTTTGGAAATAAAATTATTACTGCTGTTTGTGTAAAGAGTCTAATGACAATGATTGTACATAGCTTTCCCCTACTAATGTTTATTGTTTATGTACGGATTTCTTGTAAAGCATAAAACGATTTAGAATTATTGAATCACTTCAAATTCTTTGCATCTATGATGCGTCAATGTGCGAAAAATTGTAGCAAGTAATGATTAGTAATATATATTAATATATATTACTAATCATTACTTGCTACAATATATATAGCCCTGTTTTGTTAAGATTTTTGAGAATAAATTTTGTGAAAAATATTTTTTGAGAATGTTTAGTAAAAAAAAAAAAAAAAAAAAAAAAAAAAGACCCCTGAAAGGGATGGAACATGGGCAGGGTGGAAATTTTGTGGACCCGAGGGAAGGCAAGGTAATGATAGCCCCACAACCCATGTCCCTTCCGCCACCGCCACCGCCACCGCCGCCGCCGCCACCTATGCCTCCAACCCACTTATCACAGCTTCAACGAGGCAGATCGTACTATGGTGAGGCTAGCCATGATGGTTCACCGGGCTTTGGGTGGCAGCATGAGAAACGTGATAGCTTCGGAAGTGGCCAGGATTAGTGAATCTACTTTGTTCTTCCCCTAGCAGCATGCTGATATTGTCGTGGCTCATTAGTTAAAAAAGTTTAAAAAAAAAAAAAAAAAAAAAAAAAAAAAAAAGAGTCCACATGCAAAAGTATTTTATAGAAAGAATGTGATTAAAATGAGTTTGACAAAAAATGAGTTTTAAGCACAATAGTAAATAGTGAATAGTATATACTATCAAATGTGAAGCTTGCTTTATATACAAAAACTGCATATACAGAAGTTATACAGAACAAATACAGTAGGGGTTGGGGGGGATTTTTTGGCATTTTTTATCGCAACATGGGTCCCACATATGTAAGATTTCCGATAGAATTCTGTGAAACAGTTTTATGTACATGTGAAAATATCCATCAAATGTTGCAATGTGGGAAGTAAATTAGTCGAAGCATAATTTAATTAAGAAAAATAAAGTAGAAACACATTAATCACACGGCTAAAAGCCTCTTTGTCCAGAGGGTTGTCACCTAAGAATAACTCTAATCACACAAGTATATATATTTTAAATTGTTTTGTGGGCATTTTTTTACAATTATTTCGTACGAGTTTTCATATTTCGAAAACTTTATACCTTAACTTCATTATTAATGTATCATTGAATGTTTACACATCATGTCTATCGGCCAAATTTTCTTTCGCTATTTTGGAACACTTTGCCAATAAAAGAATCTTCTTGGTCCCAGTTAATCGAAATTAGAAAGATAACGATATAAGTAAAATGTTACATCATCTAGAAAAAAAAAAATGATGACAACCAAAACTAATATGAAAATGATAAAAAGTAGAAGATACAAGTCACATGAGATACAATCAGCGACACGACACAGTAGAGTTGAGATCTATTGTATCTATTTTGTCGTTTTCAACTAAAATTTTGATACATTACTAAATCATATTAATAAATGTATGATATTTAACTCTTGATTTAAAAGTAATCAATAAACCGTAAACTCACACATGAGGTGAGATATTAACTTATGTAAAACACAGTAAAAAACATTAACTACTTCATATCACATTACACACCCTTTAATACAGGTACGATTTTGAGCACTCGTGAACATCTCAGTTTGATTTAGCTTAAAAGTTGATTACGTATTTGAGTCCTTGGACTCCACAATATTTGTTTCCTTTGATATGATATTAAGTATTTGTGTCTTTAACGTTTAGAGATGAAACATTTTTCTTTATTTAATTCTAAGCCAATTCAAAAACATAACAAAATCTGGTTTAGACAATATATTCAAAACTCTTTATAAGATCCGATAGAAATCAGTTCCAATTCTCAACCTATGACTCTCCAAATTGATATGATAAGGAATACTTTTTCATAAACAAATATAATCTCCTTGTATTTGGCTCAATCATTTTATATAAATAAAATGTTGGACCCAGTTTTCAATTAAGAGAACTGATAAAGAACATAAAACTTTCCCTTTATTTTCATTTGACTCCTTGATTAGCGAGTTCTTCCTAGTCATTTATTATTAAAGATAACTACATTACTATAGGGTAATGCCAAATCTTCTTGAGAGAAACATATAACCCCGGCATTAGCCCACAGAGATATCTTTTTCTACTCCATTATCCAAAAATAGTTATTGCTTCTTTAGTGCGTTTAATTTTAGCTCTTCTCAATAATTTATTTAATAAAGCCACTTACCCCTGCTTAAAAATAGGGAGTGAAGAGAGAGATTGATGTGTTAGAAATTGATTGAATACTTTTGTTTTAATTTTTCGAACTGGTCATTCATACGTCGACCTGCATCCCATCTGAATTTGAGTTTGAATGTGTAGCATGATTGCAATCTATTTCTTCTTCATGACTATTCACATTTCCTTCATATTTGGTAAACTCTTTGTCATAATCCACCCATTTAGCATCAATCAAAGCATTCTTCACGAAAATGAGATGGGTCATGTGAGTGAAGAAAGTGTGAACGCGAATTGAAAAGATGATAAAATAGTATTAAATCAATAAGTCAATCAATTAGCTAATAAGGAAAATTCTTAATTGTTTTATAAAGTACAAACATTTCAAATTGGTCAATTTACGCTGTATCTAGCAATACCAATTTATTCTTCTTCTTCTTCTTCTTCTTCTTCTCCTTCTTCATTTATTATTATTATTATTATTATTATTATTATTATTATTTGATTGAAACACAATTAGTTCTTTAGAATTATGATCAAACGAGTAAAGAATGTTTTGTTGGAAAAAATGAGTAAATGACTCACTTTTGGCAAGATTTTCGGTGGGACCCGTTGGTTCAATTTGAAGGATCAAAGTTGATTCTCGTTCTCCTTTGTGAGAGTATCGAAACCATATATTTATTTGCCGAAATCGATGAATGGATGAATGAGAAATTGGAGTTCAAAGATAACCATTGGAAGATGGTTTATGTGGAAAAATAACACTAGTCCCACGTAGGAAAATGAAGAAAGTATTAACCACTTTAAATATGGCTATACATTGAAAATGTGTAATAATGTGTAGCATAGAGGCTTTCTCCACGTGCTCGCATAGGGGGGGTGCAAATCACGGATTGAAATTGCATTCGGACCTTGAACTTGTGTGCGGGCGCGACCTGCGTACATGAATGTCAGACAAAACGGAGTGTGTCCATGTTTTGCAATTTTTTTACTTTCTTCAACTGACCTTTGAGTTTCCAAAAACTGTTAAAACTCCAGCGGAAATTGAAGTGGCTCCAGTGTTTATTTCTATGGAGTTATTGGACATATTTATGTTATATTAAATTTCAATTTTCCAGTAATTCTGACACACGAAAAAATCTCTCTGTCTCGCACACTACCAATTAAATTTACCAACAAATCTAAAACAGATTCCCAAAGGAAAAAAAATAGTTTTTTATACTGTTAATTTTTGAAAACTAATTTTTTTATTTGATTTTCAGAAATGGCTACCAATCGAACAACATGGATATGACCCAAATTGTGCCTACTAGAAATCAGGCTATGGGCTTAGCTGTGGCTTAAGGGCCAAGCTCTGTTGTGACTCAAATTGTGACTAATTGTCAAGTCATGTTGTGAGTCAAATAGTGGCTCCAACAACTGGCCATACCGTTAATGTTCCGGTTAATCATGGAGAAAAATCGGAGAAATTCAATGACTCGAATTTCAAAAGGTGGCAGCAGAAAATGTTATTTTATCTGACCACTTTGAATCTTGAAATTCTTGACTGAGATTGCTCCAAAATTCAATGAGGTTGAGGGAGATATTCAAGCCATCAGTGCACTTGATGGTTGAAACCATTCAGATTTTCTGTGCCGAAACTATATTATGAACAACTTAGGAGACACGCTATACAATGTGTATAGTACTACGAAAACTGCTAAGGAATTGTGGGAATCTTTGGACAGAAAATATAAAAGTGAGGATGCCGGGGCTAAAAAGTTTATTGTCGGCATATTCCTTAACTATAAAATGGTGGACTCCAAAATAGTTATCTGTCAAATGCAAGAACTCCAAGTGATTCTTTACGATATTCATGCCGAAGGGATGATTTTGAGTGAAACTTTTCAAGTGGTTGCAATTATTGAAAAATTGCTCCCCTCATGGAAAGATTTTAACAATTATTTGAAGCACAAGCAAAAGGAGATGAACGTCGAAGAACTAATTGTTAAACTTTGAATTGAAGAAGACAACAAGAGTTCCGAAAAGAAGTGGTTCAACCCTGATGCTGCTAAAACTAATGTTGTGGAGCATGGTCAAAGTAGTAAGGACTACAAAAATAAGTCTGGCCATCCGGTGGCAAAATGACGAAGCAAGGATCGAAAGGTGGAATTTCT